CTAAATCAAATATATCTCTTTGTAACAATAAGAGTAGTAATTATTTCTGTTCTGTCATCAATTTAATTGTCTGCTAAATTTGAGAAAGTTTTTTAGAGTTTCTGCGCAAAATTCAATATTACAGATGACTGGTGGTAATAAGCCACGTCATTTGTTCATTTGTTTTTAAAAGCGACCAGGGTATTCTATTTATAGGGTTTTGATTTTAGGATACTCATCCTCAAGCTCTCTAGGCTCATTATAGGTTTCCAGCTTTGCATATTGCACACTTCAAAGTTATCGATATATGACAAAGATATCTTTTGTTTCCACCGTAAACAAAAATGCTTTTTGAAACAGTTGCAAACAACTGAAAAACTTATTTCAATTTTTGCTGTCAGCCAAGCTTCCTCTTATTATTATAATTTTTTTTTTATTGTTAGACTATAACCTATAGTGATCAGATTCCAATAAATCACTTCAAATCAGCTAAGAATAATGTGCTGGGTCATTTCTCTTTTATTCTACAGTTCAAAGTTACCTGTATATGATAGATTTTAAGTTTATGTAGCCATTACTGCAAATTATTATTTGCCCTGCGTAAAGTGCATGTCGCCGAATAAAACTCAATTTCGTCCGGTTATTACGTTTTATGGACCGAAGCTATTCTTGCGTCCGACCTCAAACACGTGAAACAGAATGAAGCCAGTATTCGCCCATCTTCCACCAACAGATTTGATTAATAAAAAGTTTCCAGTGAAAGAAATATTGCACTCAGGATTTAAATGAGACATCATCGTGTTTTACTTTTGTTAGACTGTCTAGAAGACATGTTAGCGTTTTTCCTTGCAAATAAATTCGGAAAACATGTTCCTTCTAAATCGTGGGTTTCTGCATAAGTACGGGTGTCAGTAAGCTGGCCATGACTTTTCATGAAGATATGTTTTCCTCCATAGGATGCAATAAAAGCGAGAAATAGGAATTAACAAGATGGACTTATCTTAAGCGTTCTAGTAATCAATCAAAAGTCAATCTTTGTTTGAACTTTTATCCATTTTTTTTTTCTCTTCATTATTTTTCTTACTTTGTGCTCAAGAGGGTAGGGGCGATTATTTGTTCTCTGAAGTGTTTAAGCGCAACGAGGTGCAATTCGCAAAACGTCCGCGACACATGGTAAGCAAGACTCATTTCAAGGCCTCAGACGTTAGGAAACCCGCATTTGTCTCGTATTTTCGACCCCATCTCCCTTTCATGGCTCACACGTTTTTAGCCAGGAAAGACTTTGAGACGTCAATTGTCTAGAGAGAAGCTTTTTAAAGTAAAGTCACGAAATGGCCATGGCTTTGTAAGATTAAGCTGCTCCGTATGGATTCTTTTGATTTCCTTTAAAGACTGTTCATTCCAAGTGCCAATCCATACAGTCTGTATCAATGATTTTCAAGTAAACAGTACCTCAGGACATTCAATTGCTAATGACTATCTGATCCATTTTTTAATTTTTTTGGTTGAATTCAAAACTAGCTTGACAGCGAAAAGGAAAATGATTCGGTACATTGATGCATTCAGTATTTGAAAATATGTAGATATGTAGCCCCTCTTCTTATTTATTTACAACAAAAGCAATCAGGACGTTGCCAAGTGCGGAAGTCAAGCGAATCAGAATGACGAGGGTTACCTCCAAAGAAGTTTCTGCGTTTAAGCGACAAAGAGAGTCCTGTGAAATTGTTAGAGACATCTTTGAATGTTATTCAAGTTGCAGTAAACATGCATGAAAAACAAAACTAAACATCAAATTGAATTTAGATGTAAAATGCAATAAGATAAAAAATTCTTGCTGCTCGTGAATCATTTGATCGTTTTCCTCCTTTTAAAACCTTTTTATTTCAGAAGATGGATATTGGAAACATGGGCTTGCAATGTGCAAGCATTAACCTTGTAACTATCTAGGAAAAGGAAAAAATAAAATTGACAATATTCTTTTTTTTTCTTGGGAATAAACAAAAACTCAGCAAAGCTTCCAGGCCATTGCCGTCGCTTCTTTCAGTGCACTATTAAGAAAGTCATGATTGCATGATGGTGATGTTAGTTTTTTGTCCAAAGTTTCTCCTAAACTACATATTCAATAAACATATTTATTGTTTTTTTAGAGGGCACAGTAACGAATCTTGCAATCTGATTGGTTCTTTACCCGGTCAGTATTTTCCTATCTCTGCCCCCGGGCCACGGTAACGCTTTCGTGAGTCGCCGAGTACATCCCAACTTTCGTTGTCATTTTTCATAAATATACCTCGTTTTCCGGCTGGGCAGTATTTTTAAGCAAACACGTCGGTCACTACCTCAAGCCGATAAATAACTTATGAATCCTCTCTTTTCTCTCTATCAAATCACTTTGGTTGACAGAAAAATATTGGTTTCAGAATGAATTTGTATAAACAATAATGTCATTACGTTGGTTGACAAGCGGCCTAAAAACCGTCTGCAATTAATTTTAATCGTTCACAAAAAGTACCCAGAAAGTTGAAACGTGAGGTATTTGGTTACAGTTAAACTGAACGATGGAACTTTCATTCATTTAATATCTGAATTTTCTCGAGCAATTTGTCCATAGTGAAAGAGCGAGCGAAGTTTTAATTTAAGTTCTACAACAAATATACGCTCCTGGCGAGTCTTTCCAATTCCGTTCAATTTGGACATTTGTACCTTAAATTGCACAACAGAAATTGAAGGAATTTTTTGAGAAAAGGCCGCATTATATTCCCTTGTGTCTCGTTTGAGTGTGCCGTTTGAATTTAGTTTTTGTGAAGGAAAGATCAGAGTTATACACGCCATTACAGCAAACAAACGAGCAAACTCTCACAACTTCATGAATGGTCGATGAGAGTGAATAATACTTTCCGTTAGATCATTAACTGATTTTGAAGAAAACATTGTCGTGACTGTCCTTGCTAAACTAGTTCTGTTTGTTTTCAAATGTTCCTACGCCTTTTTTTTTTCTTGCGCGCTCTCTAATTGACAGGTGTCAGATTGTGACAAATACTTGTAAAAATAATGTTTCAAAGTTTGTTTGGAAGCCTTTCAAATCACCTTTATCGTTACGGAAATAAAAATGTTTCGCTGAGGCATCTCTATTAAATTTGCATCACCTCTATTTTAACTACCATTTACCCACTCAAAAATTGTTCAGTTTATGGAAGATCTTGCCGTATTTACGTCCATAAATCATTCGGGTTCTTTCGGAAAGAATTTCGTCAAGTTTAAAAACAATAAATATGTTATTTGCCGGCTAAGGGACGTATGGTTTTGACCTCGGTCTTTACCCTCGGCCTACGGCCTCGGGCAGTATTTTCAAAACCTTGGTCACAGTTTTTCACCATACGGACCTCCCAGCCGGCAAATAACATATATTTATTACGTAAACTGCGGTGTTATACAGGGATTTCCGGCTCTTAGAAAAGTCGTAATTACACACGTGAAAAAATATCGTATTTTTTCAAGTGTGTTGATATAGCCAATCACCTGCTGACACGTCACTCACCTAGCGTCACTAGGTCAGGTTGATGAATAGACGCCAAAGCCTTCACGATTCTCAATACAAGTTGTTTGTCGGAGCTTTCTCGAATTGTGGCGACTAAAACACAAATGAAAATCGACAACTGGAAGATTTGCCACTAGTCGATTTTGGCCGTTTACCTGAAAGACTTCTTCTGTCAGTAAGGACAAAGTCAATAAATGAGAATTTTGTTAATTGAAAATTACGACCATTGTTTTTTTGTAATCATGATTCGACGCATTTTTTCCATCTTTAGAGTTAGCGCCAACGCACTCTACGATTGTTACTCGGGGATTGTCGATTCATTTATTTTCGTTCGTTAATGTAGTCAGCTTTTCTTCTCAGTTGAGGGCTATTGTTTTTATATGACAAACAAAATAATACATGGTTGCTTGCAGATATGGAATTTGTCTTCTCGTGTTCAACTCATCGAGTTAAACACTCGAGGAGAAATTCCATATCTACGCGCGCCCATGTATTATTCTCTATTTCTAAGTTGAAAGAGATTGCTTGATAAAGGGGGTAAGTTTCTAAAGAAACTGTGATGCTGCGTCGTTGGGTGAGTATAACAGGGTGATTTAGTATTATCAACTGAGTTGATAACGTGAAATGGCTACCGTAAGAGTTTCAAAGCTGACGTTTCGAGCGTTAGCTCTTCGTGAGAGCGATAGACGAAGGGCTAACGCTCGAAACTTCAGCTTCAGTTTTAAACTCTTTAAGATGGCCAATGATTTTATACGCCTTTTCATCGTTTTTTCAATCGAGGTTCGATTTCAGCTATTATTTGTCTTACTCAAAATATATCATCGTCAACAATATGTTTTCAAATTCGAATCTTTTTTGTTATTGAAAACCTGCTCCTGCAAGAACGGAGTGATATTTCCACCTCAGTGATGTCCATAATGTCTTTGGCCTCCGTATAATTTACACTTCTTAAAGCACTTTAAGCACCATCTCATTTCTTCGTATCTCTCTGCTTTAAGGACCTGGTGAAGTTGTTAGCAACGTTTAAATAGAAAAAGGACAAGCGTGTATATTTTATATTTATCACTAAACGGCAACGTTTTTGAAAACGGTTTTATATACATACGAACAAGGCTTTGTAAGACGACTTGAAGTGAAAGTGAAAGACAGTTATACAATATATATAAACTTTTGATATACAATACGTATACACTGGCGGCATACTGAATTATTGGATTTAAAACGACCATTTACATTAAAAATTAAAATTAAAATTAAAAAAAAAAAGAAATTTGATTGTGACTGTCGTTCGATTTTCTTAATCTACTGTTTTGTTGGCGAAGATCTGATATCAGGAATATACGATCCATCGCAACAGTTTGGTTTATATAACGAGCTTCCCGTTTCTTCCTATTCAAAACGATACCTGGCGAGCATTTATTAATAACAAACGAGTCTTAACGGGTCAGCTTTATATGTACAAATATGATTTTACCTCGAGAACAATTTAACCCCATGGACAGCAAAATGCTTGTCTGATTGTCTGCTTTACTGCTTCTCTTACTTCTCTAATCTTCCAGCAGTAAAGAAATGGGTTTAGAGATGAGTTAAAGAACACTAAAGACGAAACTATTCCAAAAGTTACGTAAGAATGGGATGAATGTGTTTTGCTGTAAACTATATTAATTTGTATTACACTATATGGTAGGAAACAAACAACCAAGGCTAACTGAACCCACAGTGCACTGTACACTCCCTTTTTAAATCGCACCAAGTTCAGTACGTTTGGTTTCCTCGTTTTTTGTTGAAGATGATCTCCAACCTGAGCGTGATGTCGACGAAGAACGCGGAAAATCTTAACGTACGAGGCGACTGAAATTAATAAGCAGGGCGGCAGAACTATAACGCTACACCAAAATGAAATCTGGGGATCCAGAAAATAGCAAAAAGCAGCAACACCAGGTATAACCCAAAAAGTAGCTACAATGATATATGTGCGCCTCAAAGTTACAATTTGTTTGTATCTTAGCCCCAATAACAAGGCGAGAAGTCTGTCCACGCTTATGGCCATAATCGTCAACAAAGACGCTCCACATAATATATAGCCTGTTACGTACCCAGTGTCCCATGCGTATCGACAAAGACTCCAGTCTTCGCAAACTAACGTCATATAGTAAATAGCAGAAAGAGGCTGGCTAAGAAGTCCAACCAAAAGGTCAGTTGTTGCAAGACAACGATACAAAAATTTGGACGGCGGATGAAGTGAAGATTCCTTGTGAAGGGCAACAAGGATAAGAAAATTTCCAAGGAATGCAGTTATGGAAAGGAGAATATTGACAACTGCGAAACAAAAAGATTGTTTTTGTAATTCACCAACCAAAAGAGGGGAACATGCCAGTTCTTGAAAAGTTTTCGTCTGCGTTCCAACTACCGTTAAATTTGTTGCTGCAATCATCAGTTCTGCAGTCGTTTCGAATTTCTAACAGGATTTCTGTGATTAAAACCGCGTGTAGTTCATCTGTAAAGCACTCGTCCGCCCACGATCACTGAAACTTTAATTTTTAAAGGAATAATTTCATAAAGACTTCCATAACAGGTTTCATTATTTTTATATAATAAAACATATTTAAAAATGCGCAAACAAACTGTATGAGGTGTCAAAAAGAAATGAAAATGTTACCTCAAAATTCTTTCTTGTGTCTCTTGTGGACATAAAAAAGCGGTGTGATCTTACCGATATCTGTCTAATAGCAACTTGATAGCGCTAAAAATTGTCCGTATTTAGTCCAGATGAATTTTAATTCCTAGATGAAGTGTGTTTAAAACACCATTTGTGTGCAGTTGAGTATTGAACCATTCTCAGTCTCAAGAAATAGAAAATAACATTTTAAGCTGGCGACGTGAAATCGCTTCTCTCGGATTATTTTAATAGTTTTCTCCGTAGTCTCTCGCTAAATCATATATAGTACACATATTCTCAAATACTCACGTTTGTAGTAACTCAGTGAGGCTGGAGAATCAAGATTATTGTCCTTACCGGCCACCCATACCACAATCTTGAACCTTTCGCAGGGGAAAAGGAATGACTGATAAGATATTCGTGTAAGAGGCGCTCAAGTATAATAATTCATAACGTAGCACAAGAACACAAGAAAGTCATTATCCTTAACTTGTTTAATTGTTTCTCTCATAATGATTTCATAATTATTTCCTGGTCTGAACTGTGAGTTTAGTAGTTTCCAGAAAAGCAAACGGAAAAAGAAACCTTTTTCACAATGCTATAATCATAATTAGGCAGTCTCCTTTATTGTCCCAATCAAATGCATCTCTATGCAACAATAACCTGAGTAATTATTTCTCTTCTGCCATCACTTTAATTGCCTACTTAATGTGAGAAAGCTTTTTAGAGTTTTAACGGAAAATCCAATATTATAGATGACCGGTGGTAATAAACCTCGTCATTTGCTTCGAAAAGCGACCATGGTATTTCCTTTTGTGCTGGTTTTAGGACACTCATCCTCAAGCTCTCTTGACTCATTATAGGTTATCAACTTTTAGTACCGCTCCAATCAAAGGTATCGAAATACGACAAAGATATCTTTCATTTCCACTGTAAAAGATGATGACCTCACCAGAGAATAGAAAACTACCCCTGTCCCTTAAGGAAATGAATTACGAGATTTATTTGCCAGCGCCGCGGTTACCTAGAATATTGAGTTTTTTTAGTATAAAGTATTGAAAGCTTTCTCATATTAAACAGGCAATTAAAGTACCGACAAAGGTTGAACGATTCCACAGTTTTTGTTTCAGAATAATTCATTTGGTCGAGAAAACGAATAAGACCGTTTACCCACGATCATAGAACAATATATGTAGAGTTAGGGTAACTCTTTTAAATAGGTTAATTCTTTGTAATTTTCTTGCAATTACTGAACTCATTGTTCATCAGGAAATAAGTATTGAATCAGCTTGAAAGAAAGGATGAAATAATTCAAGAATATTGGCTTTCTCGCATTATAGTGTTCCGAAAGTCAGTCGACGCAAGAAAAACACAATTTGGAAAAAGTCTTGACCAGGTTTCGACCGGAGCTTGACAGATACCTTGATATTTCTGCCTCCACGGGTTAAAAAAGAAAATTAGTTATTCTTTGAAATTAGACCAGACTCTTAGAAATTTGATTTTATATAAGTTTATTTCCTCTTTTTTTTTAAAAGGAAGAAGTTTGATGGGTTGGATATCTTCATTCCTTAACGAAGTCCTTGCATAATACATTTCATCATTGTTTCAAACGGATTAACCTTATCTATAGCATCTTTCGCAATTCAAATTGTCCTATGGATACATTCTTCATTTGTTACAGACTAGGATGTCCCAAGCAACTTTCCCAGATCCTCTTGGCCGCTCGAGGGCAGAAATTGTTATGGAGGTAGCAATTGCGATCCTGATTTGCCTCACCGCCATACTTAGTAATGTGCTGGTAGTTTACGTTATGAATAAATACTATGAGAGGCGAACCACCACCAAAATGTTTATTCACAATCTTTCACTGACTAAAATCTTTACGGTGACCCTTTACACGGTAACTTGAAATTTGACCCAGGAATGGTGTCATGTCACCGCAACATCACGACTTACTATGGGTGTGGCCTCTATGTTAAATATTGCCTTAATTGCCATGAACAGATACATAAAAGTCGTCCAGCGAGCCTTGTATATCAAGTTCTTCCCCAGCAAAAGAGTTGCTTGGTTGTACTGTGGTCTCGTCTGGCTGTGTTCTCTCATAATCGCCACGCCTCCGTTGTACGGATTGGGAAAGCTGTAGTTCGACTCGAGTTCCCTTCTTTGCAGCTTTGACTTATCTTATGTCCTAGCAACTACTGGAGGGACCTGGGTCATGTTAACATCTGCGATATTTTATTGCTATTGGGAAATTTACAGGCAAGTGAGAAAAAAGTGCTGATAACGTTAACACCAATGTCACACAAAATGAGGTTGGTACTCCCAGGCTTCATCATACCGACATTAAAGTTTTGAAGAGTTGTTTCACAGTGGTTTTTTTCTTTTTAATTACCTGGGCTCCTCCATGCTTAGGCGCTCTTTTAACCGCTGTTGGAGATTATCCACCTGCTGAGGTGCATAAGGTAGCTCCGTATTTTATTTTCTCCGGGATTCTGGTTAATCCAATCATCTATGGGATCATGAATCCGCAGTTTAGAGATGCCCTCAAAAAGGTATTCAGTTGTTGTTCATGTGGCAACGATCATTCAAATCAGACCCATGCAAGAATTACAGCGGTAATGATGCATACCAAGAGCAATGAAGCTCGATGACCAGTGAGAGGAAAATTACTACTGTAGAACCGAAGAGCAATAAAAGTAGGATACTGGCATAGTAACAAGCACACTGACTCTTGACTTTTCTAAAATGATTGCCATACAATTTCATCGTTTTTTCAATCGAGGTTTGACGCGCACGCGCACAAACAATATCAAAACAAATGACGAGCAAAATGGTGTCGGTACACCAATGATCCATCGTACCGATATCAAACTTTGAAGACTTGTTTCAAGGTGGTTTGCTCGCTGTTAACTACATGGGGTCCTCCATCCATAGTTTCTAATGTAGCCATTGCTGGAGATCATGCTCCCCATGTAGCACCTAGAAAAGCATTGTGTTTGAAGTTCCATAGTAGTCTGTTAAATCCAATCATCTATTGGATTATGAATCCGCAGTTTAAAGAAGCTTTCAAAAAGGCACTGAGGTGTTGGTGTTATGGCAACCATGATGCACATCATAATCATGCTAGAGATGTAGCTGAAGTAATGTATACTTTTTTACTTTCAGTCGTGATTCTCAATTTCGTCTCAGAATTTTTTCTTTGTCCCACGCTCGTGACAAGACGAAAAAACAACTTTCTCTTTTTCTTTACCGAGCTCAAAACTTACCATCTCTCTTATTTCTATCTACAAACATTACGCTATCGACATATCTGATCCTAGCAGTATGCAGGCGCGTGTCATATGAACTTCGGAATAGACCTCGCTCACCGTGGAGTCTATGTGGCTCAGTGGTTAGAGCATTGGAGCGCTCGTAACAAGACGAAAAAACATCTTTCTCTATCTCCTTGGTAGTTCCAGTCGACTGAATCCCTTTAAATGAAAAACTTGTTTTAGTTTTTGAACATATTAGTAGAAGCTAACAGGTATAACAAGTTACCAGTTAGGCTTATTGGCAATCAAGCCATTGCATCATCTATCTTAGCAAGATAGGCAAGTATCTGAGAAACTGGCTGAGGGCTTTTTACTAGAATAGAGACCAATTCTGCTCAGTTGCAGAACTGAAAGAAATGTGTCGTATGTATTTTGACCAAATGTCTCTGTCTTTTTCATCCAGTGTTAATGTCACAACATGGACAGTTGGATATGCCATTTTCTATCATGCAAATTTGCTGTTTACAAGGTATGAGGGGGGGGGGGAGGCATTGTCTCTTAGCAGGCTAAAGAGGCCAAACATTCTGGAGTGAAGGAAGATTTGACCTTAACTAACGGTCAGATACCTCACACTACCAATCACGTTCTCCACCACACTGTTACCAATCAAATATTTGCAATTGTGGTAGAAATAAAAAATTGATTTGCTTAGTTGTCAAGATTGCGTGGTTGTGGTTGACTCTTGTGAGACAACCTGGTACTGAGAGCCTGAAAGCAAGCCACTTAAATCAGTAAAACATTCGCACATGCGCTGACGTTTAACCTATGGTTGGCGGAGTAAAAACTGCTTCGTGCGATCTGATTCAGAAGCGTACGATCCGAAACTATCTTCCTAACAAACAGTGTCCTAAAAAGCGTCATTCGTCTGCTATAAACGACCAGAGTCAATACAGCGGTTAACGATGTGCTCCCAAGTTCGATCGTTTTCATCCATTCCACGTTCAGAATCTCAGTTATCTCTTCTTTTTTACTCTCTACTAAAACTCTCACCATTTTAACTCTAACAACTTGTTTTTACATGAAAGAACGAGTCTAAGGAATTTTCCTTTCTCCTTATCAGATTTCTAGTGGAAAATGTACTTATGTTGAAAAAAGGAATGCCTTCTTGGTCACTCTATTACTAATAAATTCGGATAAGCTATTCTGATCTGGACTTCATTTCATGTGTTATAGGGGAAGATGGTAAAAGCTTCAATTCTCGCCAAAGATCCCTGATACCAAATTGGTTTTGCACAAAAATTAAATTTTGCAATTCTCCACAATGCCTGATTGACATATATATAGAAATAACTTTTTTACTATTCCATAATTACATGAATTTTGTCTCGGTAGGCACTAACAAATTTAAAGATAACTTGATAAACCAACAGTTCGCTACAATTTGTCACTAATCTTTAGTTTGTTGTCATAATTAAGCGGTTTCCGCCTGTTCCTTTTTCATTAAAAGCCTTAGAAGCCGCTTCTTGTCAGCCACTATGCGACTTTCCAAATCTTCAATTTCCCTCTTAATAGCGTCATTACTGTGCGACGCTGACTCCCTTACTTTGGATTCAGAGTTCGCTGTTGATATAGAAGAACTGCGCGAACGGGAAACGCTATGGTGCGTTCGCGATGACAGAGGCGTGCAAGCTCGTGAGAAGTATCTTGATTGTGAATTAGATCGTGAGTTTCGAGAGTCTTGTGACTGGGAATGTGAATTTCGCGATCTTGATTCGCGTGATCGGGATTTCTGTGACTGCGAACCTCTCGACCTTGATCGTGATCTGCGTGATCGTGAGTCCCTTGTCCGTGATTTCTGTGATCGTGAGTGTCGGGATTTGGAGTTTCGAGAGTAAGACCCCGATCTTGAACGAGATCGACCATACTCCTTTGTTCGTCTACTGTCAATTTTCTCGCCGCGCGTTTTACGTTTGCAGTGAGTCTGGGATGGACTTAAAGAGGACTTTCCTATCTTTTCTTGACTGTGCTTACCAGATATTCTTGACGGAGATAAACGTTGACTGTCATCTCTCAACCGTCTTTCCCTAGAGTTTGATCGCCATCGACGATGTTCTTCAATCGCACGCTCTTCAACCGAAAGTGAACGATCCCTTGAGCGCGTTTTAGCATTAACAGAGTGACTTCGCGAACGTTTGTCTTCTTGAAAAACTCCCCTTCCTTTAGACAGCAGTCGTAATCCAGATTTTGACCGCGATCCAGACCCTTCCTTCCTTCGTTGAAATTGCGTTGCATCGTTGCACGAAGGTCCTGGCCGAACAATGGAAGATACCGGAGAGGTAGAGGTATCACTACTGATTACAATAAACTCCTGTGGAGATGAACAAAATTCTGAAGAAACAATAGAGAGATTTGTAGAACAAGACGGGCCTAAACCATTATCAACATGATTAGTATCTCCACAAAGTGTGCCTCTGTCTCGCTTCTCGCTCGATCTTTTAGACTCTTTCCTTTTATGTTTGTGTTTGTGTGAATTACGATGATAGTGATGGTATTGATGCTTGTTCTCCGTTTCCACTTGTGTCTTCTCTCCAACAGTTTCCTTGGAAGACCTCTTTCTGTTACTACGCCCTATAGAGTCGGATGACGCATTGGACGCTTGATAATTTGTCGTGGGTTCAATGTCTACTAGAGTTGTTTGCGGACTAACTGATGAGTTCGATGAAGAGATGGTCACAGTCCTTTCCAAACCAGCTCGACCATTTAGTCCGGATGTGCCTGGTGATGAGCTTGGAGACCACCTGTTGTTTACAGTTTGCTGCGCTGGAGAATCTCTGTTCCAGTCTGTTTGCCACAGAGTTTCGCCAGAGGGGCCTGGAACAGGTGTATGCCAGCCTGATGTGGAAAGGGGACCGCTAGACATTAATATTGTGTTGAATACCTCAAAAATTAATTATTTTTAACCGATTCAAGTTCTTCCTTTTCCCTTCTTGATTTTTTTTAAAATTTTTCCCCAACCAAGTTGAGGATTTGAAGCTGTCATTACCCGGCCGAACTGTTAAGAAAAATTTCGCGTTGTTGGCACTAACAATTTCTAATAATATTATTACATGTCAACATTGAGTATTTTTGAGAATTCTACCTTAATGAGACGCTTTGGAGTGTTACACCACGGAAATTCACATGTAAATGTTGCCCAACTATTTTCCTTATACTACTCTCCTCTATTCCCATTTAAGCGTGTATAATCCATTTTACAGTTGCCTGCTTGGTTGCCAAGCCTTTGAACAGGAGTGAAGCTAAGACTGATTGACCTTGGTTTGATACAAACGTTACTGCTTTTCAAATGTAAATTACTTTGTTGGTCTTTATTATCGTGCTAACTAGATGCTGGTCTCTATCACAGCATGGTCACCTTCAGCCTCGCTTCAAATCAAAGGCTTGGCGACTAAGTACACAACTGTAACATGGCTTTTTATGAAAACACTAGTCATGCGACGCTTCGGAGAGGTTTACCTTGGATTATCCTATTATACTATTATACACCACGCCAACGTAAACTCATCGGCCAACACAATCCACAAAGCGAACAAGGGAGGGTTAGATCTAATAACGTTGCATATACAACGGCTTTAATTCCGATAGAAAATGGTTATAAACGGTTCAGACCTGAAGTTTGACTGTGAAACACAGTCGGCGTATCTCTGGGTTCCTGCTCTGACTCACTTGGCCAGCTGTACTGCGCACGCTCATCATAAGCAGTCATATCAAATGGCGAACGAGCAAAGCCTATAAACTCGTGGATAAAATGATCTGTTTTGTCAAATAGGAAAGGCTGCAGCTGGCGAGAAAACTCTTCAGAACTAAGCTCAACCCTGAAAATGTAATAGTACAGATTTAAAAACTCAGCCTATCTACATGAAAGGGTAATTTGCTATTATCAATTGAGTTGATAACTTTTCAAGCGTTAGCCTGTCTAAGTTTGCTCTGACGAGAGGTTAACGCTCGAAACGATAGCTTTCACACCCTTCACGTTGGCCAATTTACTTTTTCAACTCAAATGATAATGCTAAATTACCCTGTTACACTCTCCCACCGACGCAGCACCACAGTTTCTTTAGAAACTTACCCCCTTTATCCACATAAAAGTTTTGGCTATCTTCTATCTTTTCTCGTTTCAGTGAAAAAAAAGAAAGGTTTAATTCTTAAACTGAGATGTTTAGTTGTTTTGATCAAGGGGGTATAAGTTCTCTATGCGCCGTAATAAGCGTCAAAGAGCTCTTTTCGAACCAAAGTAAGGACAATGTCCAATCAGAAGAAAGGAAAATACTTCTAAGAGTCAATGAGACCTACAGTATAAGTAAAAACAACCAAACTGACTAAATCGCGGGAAAACGCAGGCGACCGAGTTGTGATTTGTTTTAGTTTTACATTTGATTGGTTAATTAAGAGAGTGGCGCGAGTTTTCTGGACCAATAACAGAGCGAAGTAAAGCAAAACCAATACAATCTCGGATCACACGTATTTCCGATATTCAGTCGAAAATTTATCTAAATGGCAAGAAGTAATTCTGATACAGACGGCATTCTTTACAACACAATCATGGAGTGATTCACATCTAAACATGACTTACTTGTTGATCAGAGACAAAATAATCTGAAGAACAAAACTGACATGACTCTCCACGTCATTCAACAACGCCCTTAAATCTCTTGTAAGCCATGGAATCAGTCGGTGGGTGCAAGCAGGATTGGAACGGAAAAATTCTGGTGCTACGAGAAAAAAAAAACAAGTTTAGTCTCACCCAGGTACATGTTACTGCGGAGGCTTACATCAAGTCTTGTAGCATGAAGAAACCAATAATATTTCTTTTTCCCCCTAAGTGCAATGTTACCCTCTACCCCCTGGAATTTCTTCCCCCATGAACCCCTTACCCCCCTGCCCACAGAGGTTGTAACTGATATCTGATATTAACAACTATTCACGTGGATATTCACCAAGCAAAAAAGGCAAACTAAATATCCACCACCAGCCACCGACACAGAGGTGTATAACTGTTTTAGTATAAACTAGAACAATGACATAATATACTGAGCGCATCAATATGAATTTAACCAATTTATTCCTTCAGCGATTACAGCATTTTCAGGAGCAAATTTCGCATGTGTCGTTTGGAGGTCAATAGTGAGGGATATTTGGAGTTTAAGTAGTCAATCAGAGTGTGTCTTCAACACTTTCCCCCTGTTTTAGTATATATGACTAAAATATTCAGGCACTAAATACAAGTTAAGAGCTCAATTCAATTCAATTCAATTCAATTCAATTTTATTTGTTAGCAATACAATATTATCACAGTCCTAGGTGACCCGCAATTAGCAAGCTATTCTAGGCGGGCCACCCTTCTAAAACAAGTGCTGTCTCTGCTAAGGATCACATACCGATACAATTAAACAAAGATAATCATTAATAAAAATACAATTGTTAAATAAAATAAAATAAAATTAAGTCCGTTGAATAATTAAATAATCAATTGCAAAGTTATCAAGATATATAATACAATTGAAACAAGACTTAGTTACTTTATCAAGAGATATTTACAAATGAGCAGCGTATATCAACATTCATCTCCTCATTTTCCAAAAGTTTTCGATTTTTAAGTTCACGCTTAAACGGGGTTCTGTTTTTAATACGAAGTTCTTTTGGGATGCTATTCCACAATCTTACACCTATTCTAGCAAAAGAAAATAAAGAAAATAAAGCTTGATATTGTATTGACTTTATATAGTAATAAATAAATGCACTTGTTTAATATCCTATCCCTTACTCTCTCGTTTGTGAATATTGTATCCAAAACTTGGAAATAAGAATAACATCAAGCCTTTTATTATGTGATAATCTCAAAACTTACAAATTTCTCTCAGCCTCGGACGTCCTGTCTGAGTAACTCTTTGCACCCATAAGTTATTTCTGTAGATAGTCCTGTGTTGAACAAAAGAATAACACTTAATTCATTGTACTGGTGTGTATTTGAGAAAGTTATAATATACAGCAATGCCCGCATGTTCTGCAGGACCCCATGAGCATATGGTGCATGTAAATTGTGGTTGCACAAGCTTCCAGTACATGCAGTTACCTACGTGCCGTAGGAAAAAATTACATGTGCAGTGCTTTACACTCAAATGCGTGTATTTATTTCATCTTTTATCATTCCCTACATGCATTTGCATGTACAAATGCACCAAGGCCTGACTATGTAGTGATACTGCTAAGAGAAATTACTATTTGATAACCCCTGAGGGGTGGGGGGAGGGGAAGGGGGGAAGAGGAGGGAAAAGCCATTATCTTGATTCAAAGCTTAGTCTTTAGTGTGTATCAATTTCACATCTAGGTACAGGCCTGCACATGTAAACAGATACAAGTGAGTACCTTCTCCTTTCACGACCCACTGTCTTTCTATCTCTTTGTGCTGCAACATGAGCCTGCCGTCGTCTACCTGGCTGCCCCCAGATGCCAGTCTCATTCCACTGGTGTTGTTGACTCTGCATCTGTTGTTGCTGCTGTTGTCTGTGTCCTTCAGTTAATGTTGTTCTGTAGCGGAAACGTCTCCCATCACTTTGAAATTGTTGCCGGTTGGTTGGCACATGTGAGTCAGGTTTGGAGAGAAAATGCTGATACCAAAAGAAAGAGTTATTTGAAATGGCTTAAACCTACAGAACACCTTTCTGGGGTTGTTACTTTTCTGTACATGTCATAAGTGTAATCAAAATTCCTGGAAAAGACAGTTAGGAAAATCAAAGATGAACACTGCTTCTTGAAGTTACCAATTGCCGAATGAAATTTAGAGATGCGTCAGTTTGAAATAAAATTTAGGAGTGCAGGCACATCCTTGTAATCATAGCTTTTCCTCAGATACAGTGTTCCATTCTCTTTCAAGTTGCTTTACCATTACTTTTAAAATGAAATAACATTTTCATTGTAAGGCAAAAATTGCATTTATGAGATAACATTGCCTCACTGCATCTCCCTCAAGGCTTTTTCTATATGCATCCCTCTCATTACTCATAATTTGAATCAAATATGCTGATGATCAAACATTCAAAATTTTTTAATTTGTCTGTTTTGCTTTTGATTTTCATCAGCTACAATCCACAACAAAATTGATACATTGATCTTGATACATTGATCTTTTCAACCCTTCAAGTGAAACTAATCAGCCCCTTCCCTACCCCCCCAAAAAAAACAATGTTGTATCTTGCTTACATGAACTTTAAGGGGTTAGTTTTGTACATTATTTATAGTGTAGTGCAAACAAAAGTGTTATTCTTCACATAAAAAAAAAATCTGTTTAAACACTGTGTCGACTAAGTTTGATGCTGGCTGTAGTCTGAGTACCTGAGTTCATTCTTTTAAACCAAACTGATATACAATAAAAGTATAATAAACATCTTCTGATTCTAGGTAATTTATTATTATCAACTGAGTTGATAGCCTAAATTGGTCACCATAATATGTTTCAAAGTTGATGTTTCGAGCATTAACCCTTGATCTTTGCTCTGAAAAAGGGCTAGTGATTGAACTTCAGCTATGAAACTCTTTATAGTGGCCAAATTACGTTATCAACTCAGTTGATAATAATAAATTATCCTGTTATACTCTCCCACCAATTCAGCACTGATACAGTTTGTCTTCTTATCATGTAGTCTGATTGTCCAGACGAGGCTATTCAAGAATAGGATTGATGTCTTTTACAAAGGTTGCCACAGTGTAAGTCACCATCACTGACACCAGTCCTTCTCAAGATTTCTCTCAACTGAGTGATCAGAAAAAAGCCTGTAGGACAATACTCAGCTGACTGTTGGCCAACTTCTGGCCGACTTTCAGCCTACTTTTGGCCTACAGGGCTTTTTTTAGGGCAGTTCAAAATGGCAGTTACAGGTGTTCATGATTTTATACCTTTCCATTCATGGTCCTTGAGCTATGCACTTTAGCTCTAGACCAAAGTGGGGCAAATTTGGCTTTTAACTTGTTACATCGGGGAACTTAAACTCAGGTAGTATTGGAGGTTCAGGCATTGGGTTATAAGGTTAAATTTCAAAGTGTACATCATGATTACCTGCTGGTAATTGTCCATAGATTTGACACTGTGAATAATTGATGTAAAGCTTGATTTGCACAGGGGACAGGTCCTGACTATTTCTGACCATTGTAAAATACAGAAGTAACAAAAAGCATCTGCAAGATAGGTTAAGGTTCAACATTGCTTTATAGCATTAACCCATTACACCCTAAAGATCAGTAAGCACATTCTCCATACTGTTCTCTATACAATTCCTGAGGTGCTGACAAGGAGAATTTTTTTAACAATCAAGAGCTTTTTTAGTAAGTGATCATTCCCTTGATCATGGATTCTTGTGACCTTAATGTTTGATTCAAGGGTGATATTGTAAGGCAAAATTAGAAGCTCGTCACTCTTAGGGGTTAAAGGGTTAACTTCGAATAGGTGTCCAACTTGCATAGGTTCTCTGTTAAAGGCAGACGTCGCAAGCATTTGAATTATACCATGAAGGGATGGGACTACAAAAGTCTGAATCATGCCTGACCTGGCTTTGAGATGAAAGGGAGAGATTTTATTAGTTTTAAACTGCAGGAGAAATGAGTAAAAAATATAGTAATATAAAAAAAGGATACACAAAATGAAACACCCTACCCCTCAACCCACGTAAATTCCATGACAGCAATATCATTGCACAGTTTACCCAACACATACAAGGAGGGTAAATGTCTAATTTGCACAAATCAAACCCTCATGAATCTGGGTGATTGTTACACTTTGCTGCTGGATTTCAAAGAAAACAATTTATTTTCATCGAATCTTTACCTCAAGCTCATTCACGCATCTAAACTCATATTTCACTCGTCAAAAGGATACGAAAGCACTTATCAAGGAATGCTTTGTTATCATATTCACTGAGACAAACCGAACATGTTGCATCTTTCGGACTAGTCCTTCCAGAAGAACATTGATCATCTGCTTGCAAATTTTTCTCGCATGATTTTCTTTTCACATCGATGATTCGAACTTCATCATCACTGCTGAGCTCCACTAAATCGCAAGAAACATTTTCTGTGTACAGTTCTGATTGCGTAGACTGAAGCCCAGAACTGGTGTTATCATCTTTTTCTATCTGGGGAATCGAAGATTTCCCACTACACATTTCATTTGTGTCGAGTTTGGCATCTTCTTCCGGTGGACTGTCTTTTCGATCCTCCATAAATATTAAGAAGCTATTTCCTAGTAGGTATATAGTAGTTAGATTTCTTTCTTACTCAGCACCTTTAAGAGCCGATTGACTTTTGAGCCTGCGTACTGAATATTATTGGTAAGCGGGTCACTCGTTCCAAAAAAGGACAAAAAGCTCCTCATGTATTTGCACCAATTTATTTTTACTGGCCCCAATCTCGAGCCCAGGGTCATTTTGGCTCCTTGTAAGCGGTATGGTCGCTTAAATAATAGTTATTTGGCAACCATACAAGTGACAAGAAGCCAGAATGACCCTGGGCTCGAGATTGAGACAGACTAGGTGAAGGTTAAACTGTAATGTCTCCTTCTGCGAGTCGAATTCTGGCTGTTTAACGAATAAGGTGTTCATGTTGTCATTGCTCGGGAGTCAACCGGAAGGCATTTCCAAAAATTCAGTCATGCGCAGTTAAAATCGCGATTCCATTCTCCCAAAGGTTATTATTTAGCGCCCATGCTGCCAGGAGATTGTGCGGGTTATTGTCATACTCAACCACTGTTGCATAGGAATTAGCAAACCGCGATCATGAACATCATTCGAAATTTAGTCCGTCCTTCTCCGAAGAATGTTGTTCGGATCGTTCGTCTGGAAGGCACAATCGTTTCTCAGACTCGACGAGGGCCAGGTTCTTTGAATTTACGCAAAGTTGAGAAGCACCTGGACAAAGCGTTCGCCACCAAGAAAGTTAGGCCAAGAGCTGTATGCTTGGAGATAAACAGCGGAGGAGGATCCCCTGTTCAATCAAACTTAATTTTTAATCGAATACGGGCTTTGTCTAAAGCAACCAAAATCCCCGTGCTTTCATTTGCGGAAGACTTGGCCGCCTCCGGGGGGTACATTTTGGCATTGGCGGGTGATGAAATCTTCGTGGAGCCAAACACGATTATTGGCAGCATTGGTGCTCTGTCTCAAGGGTTTGGCTTCCAGGAAACTATAAAGAAACTAGGTTGGTAGATAAATCACAAGTCAAATATTTTCATTCTGCGAGGAATTGAGGAGTTGAAGCGGTTGATTCTTTCTTTGTGATGGGGTATTCAAATAAAGCACCTGAATCACATATCCCCTTTTTAATGGGTCCCCCCGGATTATTTGCTATTCACATACTTACCCCTCCTTATTTCTACAAAATTGCAACCCTCTGTGCAGCATGGGATGCTTTTTTTAGATTGAAGGTTGACAGGGTTGGGGGGGAGTTCCTTTCCCTCAGAATTCACCTGTCTTTTTCCCTTATTCAAAATTCCTCATAATTCTGCCTTCCTGCTAGTGTCAGTCCCCCCCTTGTGTTTCCTTCATAGAAAGCACTACTTAAAATCCTGATAAAACAGTTGATTACATTGTAGAATCTTCCCCAAAAATGCTAAATTTTTTTGTTGTGACCATATGGAGAATTTAACACTAGGCAAATATTTTTACCTTAACACCCTAACATCATTGAAATTTTTCTCCATACTCTTCTCTATACACTTCCTTTGGTGTTCACAAGGGGAATTATTTAAACAGTCAAAGTTACAGTGTGGCAATCATTTTCTTCAATTTATTCTCATGATCATAATGAATAATCTAGTGCTATAACTGTAAGAAGAAATTAGATGCTGGTTACTCTTAACCCTTTCACTCCCATGAGTGACCAAGGCAGAATTTCTCCCCACAATATCAGTACAATATCAAGCAGACAAGTGATGAGAATGAAGAAAAATATCAATTAGGGGATTATACATAGATCCAAAACCAAATTCTCCAAACTAACAGCACAAGAACTGTATGGCAGACAGTAAGAAGAGTTACCAATGAGATATTGGGAGTAAAAGGGTTAAGGGCTACTACAGGTACATATCTAATTAACCTGAAGGTACAGCAGATGGTTGTGACTGTTCTCTTTCTTTGTTTCTTCATTATCTAGGTATGGAGTCGCGCATTTTCACTTCAGGTGAGCACAAGGTTCGATTGGATCCGTTCAGCCCCCTCAAGCAAGATGATGTCGATTATGTAACAAATGTGCTAAAGCAGATTCATGGGAACTTCATTGAATTGGTGAAGGAAAGGCGACCATCACTTGATGTTAAACATAAAACTGTATTTAGTGGTGATTTTTTCACTGGCAAGGATGCTGTCTCATTCGGTTTAGCTGATAATACCTGTTCTGATTTAAGAGCTGTTTGTCAGGCAAGGTTTGGCAGAAATGTCAAATTTGAGCGCTGTGAGCCTCCAAGTGGTGTTCTGGGTAGACTTAGAAATCTTGTTACTCAGATGAAAGTTGAGGTATCTATTAATGACATGTTGGAAGAGCTGACTTTAAAACAATACAGACCTTAAACTACAATATACTTGTTACAAAAAACTCATTGCAATTCTTTTGTCAATGTATTTTTTTCTAATTATTATCATGTTCTTTTTTAATTACAAACAATTTTTATAAAGACTTAAGAAAACATACAGCTTTATTCAGTTATCAAATTTGAGCAAAGTAAGCAGCATGTTAGTTTTGATAGTTTCATGTTACCTCAAACCCTTTCAGTATTTATAGCAGGTATACTTTCCAGCAAGCAGGTGCTAAATATTCTGATATAGTGTTGTAGCCATCATTTTGAATTGGCAAGACCAAGAAGTCTGGGACAAATGAGACAGTTTTCTATTGAGGTTGTTGTAAGAATGAAAACCTTGGGAAAGCAAAAAGGTTCAAAATAAATTTACCCCACCCCCTCTCTACAGCTGTGCTCTGTTCACATCAGGATTTCCTCCATCCTAACATTCCAATATTATTTGGAAACATTAAGTCAAAACATCTATAATTCATTAACAGGATGACATTTAACCATGCAAATGCTAGTCCTTTGTACAGCTGCTCTATCAGGAGTAACTGAACACTTAGAAAGAAAACCCAAAGAACAGCTGTAAAGGATGCAAAGCAAAGGTATTCTGTAAGCATGTTTGGTTACACAGGAGATGCCACCTGAAACACTGTTGTAACAATACTGATTTTGTGTAAGCTAAATGAAGTATAAGAATATTTTGTGTGTAAATAAATAAATAGTTATATGTGTTTGAGTTATCTTTGATTAAAATCAGTTTAAGTGTGATTGTACACTTACTTTCCTCATTTAGTTTGGCCTTCTTGTGTTATCAAAGTTACCAAGTTATCAAAGGCGATACAACTGTCAGAGTAAAAATGGGATTTTACAAGCACATGTGCAGTTGTTGATTAATTCAAAGCCTAAAGTGTGTGCATATTTACTAACAGCAAGTGAGTCTCAACTACTTGCTGTCTTCTTTAGGTTTCTATAGCAGAGTAGGGGTAGGAGAGCATCCTTTCTTACTATTCATGGGGACGGCAGTAGGCAAGTGGGCTGGAAGGGGTCCCCCTCTCTTTACCCACTTCTACTGAAATGAATCAATCACTGTGATGTTGCAAAACATCTCCTGTTCTAATGTTACCTAATGCTCTCTGGTGAGACCCTTGCAATTCAGGACTATTAGTGGTATATCACTTTAATGATAAATCTTATGTACAGTATGTTTTTCCTTGCAAAATCCACTGTGAAAAGGAACAGTTTTATTGCTTTCTCTCCAGTGAGCGACTGATTAATGTTATCAAAATGATGGGAAGATCATTTAGTCCAGCTGACTTTTGGTATGTCATAATGTTCTGAGAGACCATCAAGATAATCATTAAATTTCTGAAAAACAAAACAAAACAATAACATTAAAGCCCTCATGTCCAAAATAATTAATACTCATCAAGGATCAATGCTCCACATTTTAAGGTACTTCTGGTTTGCCTCCTTACCAAAATCTCTCACAGAGGCTGATTTGTTTATTATCAACGGTGCATGTAAACTTGAAATGGGTGAGTTGACAGATATATTTAAAAAAAATGAATTATGATAAAAAAAAATTAATAATGATAAAATAAACACAGCCGTGATCATAGTGGGACTTTTTCTTGAGCAACACAGATTCAATTCAAAAGACTGTGATAAAATATTTCTTAACAGCAGCTTTAGAGGGCATTTTGTTGATTTCCAAATGGTGATATCCATAGATTAATTATTGGCCAATTTGAAGACAATAGTTCTGTGGTTAGTTTATTTTTCAGAATCTTGAAACTGCATCAAGTTGGTAGATTTTCATAATCACTATTCTACAGACACATTCCACGTTGCATTGTCAAAATCTGGTAAGAACACATTTGGCACATGAGGCACAGCCAAGTACATGTATGTCACTGATGTTTTGATGTCTTCTGTAATCTGTTTCTGTACTGACCCTCAGAAACATAGAGTTTATTTGCTTTATATGAAAAATGCATCTGTCCTCCAATAGATCATAAGTAAAAACAATCAAAATGTGTGTGTAATATTCAGCTGGTTATCAATTCATCAACCATAATGGAGATAAAAATTATAAGGTTTCTGGACATATCCTTAATACATTTTGGAATATATGTTTGAATGTACATACCTCAACTCTTTGTTTGTGGGTTTTCTCTGCCTTCTTCAAAATCCTCTCTGCTGCCTAAGTGAAGAAAAACAACAACAAAAAAAACAAATCGGTTAATTTTGAAATTATATTGACCTGTGAAAATGATAAAAAGCAAATTAAATTTGAAACGATAACTGATAACTAGAGATTTCTACTCTGTGTTACTCTAACTGATTTGTTCAACCCCTCAAACCCGAGAGTGATCAGCGTCTAATTCTCCTAACAGTAAATATCAGCTTTACAATTCAGAACTCTCCACGGGGACCAATTTACAATGTCGACTCAGTTTACAAAAACCAAACAACCTTGCCGATACTTCCTGCTTATCTTACTACAGTACGAGTGAGCATGGATCAAAACGACAGGATCCCTTCCACACGGGCCTGAAAGAAAGTGATAAGACACTCACTCTTTTCTCTTTGATTTTATCATAAGCCATTTCGGCTGGTGTCCGTGTATCCACCGTTTCCTCTTCGTGATCCTCTTCACTTCGATCAATTTTTCCTTTAGAGGTACTCTGAGATATATCTTCAAGCGCCTTCTTTGCCTTGTTCTTCTTTTTCTTTCTAAATGGAACAAAGGGGAAGCATGGACACAGCTAAACTTGACGGTTCGAAGAAACTATCAAAGTTGAGAAGCGAAATCTTCCTTTGTAAAAGGAAAATTTCTTGAGGAAATCGAAGAAATCTAAAATTCTATGACTAAAAATGTAAAATAAATGAAATTTTTACTTCTTAACACCTCCATCTGTAACTCCTTTTAGCTTCAAAGTACCACGACTGACTCCTTCGTAAGCGTCTGCCATTTTGAAATTTGTTCGATACCAAGCAAGTGTTGATTTCTGGGATCGACTAACGGCACAAGGTCACGTATATTGGTCACGTAACTCCAAGTTACGTCACGCCAAGCAACTTTGAGTTCAAAATGGCACTTCCGTTTACAATACTAGCGACTGAATACAGGAAGGGCTCCGATCTGTGATTGGATGATAAAAATAGTAAAAGTTAATAAGTCATAAGTATTGTTTATCCATGTGTCTCGAAGCGGAACAATGAAATATCAATACGAGTGAAAACATCGACGTGTCAACAAAAAATGGCTACATACATTACGAAGAAAAGGCAGAGTCTTTCTTGTTCAGCGATATTCCGGCAATGGAAAAGTCATCCGCTGACAAAACTCATTTAGGCAGTTTAGGCGGAAGACCAGAGACTGGAGCCACTCCTGTATTTCACCGCCGACAGGAATGGCTTCAACTCATGCGTATATTTTTATTCAAACACTGGGATAAAAACTGAAAGAGCGTTCTACTAGGTTCTTCTTATTTTGAACTCTACAATGCTTGCAAATGAAGCCCTCTTTTATTAACACAGGGCATATAGTTTCTAAGTTTTAAAATGATGCAGCAACTGCATGTCACGTAACAACTCCACTAGACCTAAAAAGGAAAAAACAAAACAAACGACAAAAAAATGTCTTACCAGTCAGATCAGTGGCAGTTATTGTCGCACTGAATCATGTGGAAGTCCTTTGACTGTTTGCAGTGATGGTTTTGGGAAAATCACCTATCTCTAACTTTTAGGATGAATGGAGCTAATTAAGAATTGGCCCATGTGCTAATGGACATTTATCATGATACAAAGCACACTTAAGAATTTGAGGATCAGCAATTAAACATTTGGCAAGGATTGCTCAGGAAGGCAGTTCCTGTGTGTGCATGTTTCAACTCCCAGTTCTCAAGTGCTCTCCAAACTTCCAAAGCATTTTGTATATCTTAATGAATACTGGTACTCCTGATGTGTGAAAAAAATGTTCTGCTAACATTTAAGTCCAGCAGTTTTAATAGAAATTCACTCTTCTCTGCTTTAGTGCTTACCCATGTGTCATTAGTGTGTGCAGTAATACAGATAAGAATCACACTTGCAACATTGAATTCAATAACACAAATTTGCAAGCTACAGTAACAATAAAATATTTGTAAAGCTAGGCTGAAGCAAATGTGGTCTCCAGTTTCCAAGTGTGAACAGTATTGAGCATGTATGTGCCTTTGGGGTTAAAAATGACAAGCAGATCTTTGTAAGCTTTGCATATTGTGTGATTCAGCTGTGAGCAGGAGTGTTAGTAGTTTCTGGGGGTTTGGTAAGTTTCTGAGTTTGTAGATGTTTTCTCACCATTTTCATGTTGTGCCACCCCTCTTGTAGCCCCTGTAAGGATTGCCCTGTTTACCGCAAGCTGGTCATAACCGTTACTTCTAGCCAATCCCACACGAGGGGGCACAAGCAGAAATGTCACTAAACCTAAAGTATGCCAAATGAGGGCAAATAAATATGAGAAGATAAATGAATTAATGCCTGATATCAAAATGTCATCAGCTAATGCTTTTGTTTCAGATGCAATCAATAGTGCCTTTATTCCCTGGCTGGTTCCTTTGCATTACATTGTAGATTATAAAGAGAAGTATATCCACACGATTATTTGCCCTCATCTGGCGTACTTTAGGTCTAGTGACATTTCTCTGACATATGCATGGATTTTGACACTCTAGCGCAGCTCAGAATGTTAGGAATGCTAGGATAATATCCTAGCATTTCTAAAAAGTACTTACAGTTGAGGCCCCTTGTGTCCCCTCATGCTAGGACTATTGGAAGCCCAGTCCCCTATGCAGTTGTTATTTTGGTTCATCACCCAAAATGATTGGCGGTGGTAGCCTGTTCCACTCTTTTTTGGTGGGGACAAACCAAAGAGTGGCCAAAAGAAAACAGAAGAGGTTTGGGAGAAGTGTATCAGTTGGAAGGAGTGAAATGAAGGACTCCTTTAACTCCTGTGAGGGACCAAGACAGAATTTCTCCTTACTATATCTATACCATATCATGTAGAAAAGTGATGAGAGTAACAAAAAAAATATCAATTGTGGGATTAATAATTGATCCAAAACCAAATTCTCCAAACTAAAATAATAAGAATCATTTGACAGATAGTAAGGAGAATTACTAATGAGATCTTGGAAGTTAAATGGTTAAAACTCTTATGAGCCCATTTTTCTCTGTCTGATTCCCATCATCTTTTTTATGTACCACTTCTTTTACTCATCTTCAATGAGGGTGAAACTGGCAGAGGCAAAGTTAAGGAGAAACAAGTTGAATGGGGGCTGTGGAGGACTATATCAATAACTTATAAAAAGCAAACTAAAAAAATTACCATCACCGTTTTAATGCTAGTTGAAAGAAAGCTAACAAAACATTTGAACACATTTTGCTACTTTAGAGTCATACAACATTGACTATTAATAGTTATTATTCAGCAACTAACTCTGAAACCCTATATCACACGCGTGACAGTGCAGTATTTCACTTTTGTAGACCTGTATGCGATATTGAGTTAAACGTAAAATAACGAAGAAAAGCACTTACTTAAAGAAGTTCTCAAACTCAAATACTTCCTCACAACAGTTCTAAACTTTGTGCATACTATGATTAAACTCAGTAAACATTGTAAAGGTAAGAACATCTCTGTATTTGACACTTGCAACGTGGATAACTCATGGACAAAATGTTGATGTTCATTTGTCTAGTTTAACCAACCTCACGCTAAGATCCCACAACTTCTTTGCTGCATCATCATCTTTGGCACCTTTGCAAGGCTCCTTGACTGCACAGTCTGCCAGATATTTGCCACTGACACCTTCCATCTCTTCGGAGACTGCACAGTAGATTGTAGTCTGAGCTCCCATCTCAGCGCTCTTGAAGGTGTACCAGCGAAGTGGGGCTACAACAACACTGGACAAAATGGAATGCCGTTGCAGATCTGTACTGACTGCCCCTGGGTGAAGGGCATTAACTGTAACATGGGTACCCTCCAGGCGTTTGCTAAGCTCTCGTGTGAAAAGCACGTTGGATAGCTTGCTGTTAAAATAGGCCGGCCAAGCACTGTAGCTCTTCTCATAGTGGATGTCATCAAAGTTGATCTTCTGAGAGCCCATAGCGTGCGCTGAGGACGACACGTTTATGATGCGACTTGGTGCTGAACGTTTTATCAGATCCAAAAGCAGCATCGTTAGCAGAAAATGACCCAGGTGGTTGACTCCGAACTGCATTTCAAATCCCTCTTTGGTCTTCTGATAATCACAGGCCATTACTCCTGCATTATTGATCAGGATATCCAAGCGTGGCTCGCTGTTCAGGATTTTGTCTGCAAAAGTGCGGACTGACTCCAAGGACGACAAGTCCAGCTTCTCCAGGAAGACAAAAGTACTACCACTTCGCTCTTGTATCTCCTTGAGAGCTTCTTTGGCTTTCTCCATGTTCCTGCAACCGATGATTACTCTTGCACCACGCGAAGCTAAATCCACCGCTGTCTCTTTTCCTATGCCAGTATTTGCACCGGTGATAACAACGGTTTTGCCCTTTAAGCTTTTAGCGCTGGTACACCTGGGTCCTTGGAAGAATCTTCTGCCAGCATAAAGCACTGCGAGAGTCCCAACGCCAACTGCTACTGGAACCGCCATACTGTGTTGATTTTAGTTTAGTGAGTCAGCAAAGCGAAATAAACAAGTTAGTACCCAAGATCCTTTGGGGTAAAAATGTCACGTTATGAGACCCTGTACCACGCGACGAAGACGGGTGATCTAACCATGGCTTTGTGTTTTATCGGTGTTTATTTATGTATTTTTTTCTTACATTAGTAACTGCGGCATCTAGATATCTTAACTATAGTCTCAACACTGAATCATAAACAGTGTTTCAAAGGATAGTTATCAAGCAAGAAACTTTATTGTGTGACAATCTGCGTTTGTCACGCGGTTGCTGGGCGAAAAAAAAAAGAAAAAATGCAGAACACAAAAACTTTATGATAAAGAAATTTTCCCTCAGCCTTCCAAACTAAAAAGGAAACATAGAAGTAAAAGCAAGAACTTATCACCAAATAAAACAGAGAGCAAATGAGATAATTACTTTTTGCTGAGCTGTGAAACATTCAGCGAAAATAATCCCCACTCCTCTCCCCAACGATAAAAATTTTCCTCTCTTAGAAGTGATTGCAGTACTCTAGTATCACAAAGAACGTCTGTATTTAAATCAACCGAATGACCCAGTGACAGTGCACAGTGAGTTGATCGGGTCGTTAACGTTCATGATTTCGCCATGAGTTTCATTTCTGACCACTGGATTCTCTTTGCATCCGCGACTGCAACAATCTTCATTTGTAAGCTGATTATCGGCCTGATAAAAAAAATCCGTAAAGTGAGGCGGCTGACCAATTTGTTTCCCTCAGCTCCAAGTCACTGGTTTACAGGACATCTCCATAATGTAAGTTTTAAAAGAACTAGGTTACCAATTATCATGAAAGAGAGGACGTAGGTAAGTACTAAAACAAGCAACCACCTAAAACCACCTACAACCACCTACAACCACCTCAAAAATTTCAACAACCACCTACAACCACCTCAAAAACATCTACAACCACTCGCAAACTATCTAAAACCATCTAAAACAAGGCATAAATGTCTAAAATAAGGCGAAACGACATGTCACGTACACGAAATACGAGAATCGAACGAAACCTCTACCTCCCCCTGAAATCTTACTCTCCCTGGTCCCATGTATAATCAACCATTTCACGAAATGAAATGCGATAGCATGCTAATTATTTTATATTCCCTCAGCAAAAGACTCAAAGAACTTTACAAAATGAACTAACAAGTTACAAAAAATAATAAATAGGGAATAATACATGGGCGTGCGTAGATATGGAATTAATCTTCGAGTGTTTAACTCGATAGCTCACGAGTGAGCGCAGTGAACGAGTGAGATGTCGAGTTGAACACGAGAAGAGAAATTCCACATCTACAAGCAGCCATGTGTTATTTTGTTTATCATATAAACACAATAGCCCTTTTCTGGGAAGAAAATCCGACCTCATTAATGAATGCAAATAAATGAATCGACAATCTTCGAATAACAATCGTAGAGTGCGTTGGCGCTGACTCTTAAGATGGAAAATGCTTTGAATCATAATTACAAAAACTTCCATATATACGCTGGCCTATGTATGATTCCCAATTCCCCCAAAGAACACATTGAGGCCATGAGAATAATTGGAAATGATCATCTACGAAAGAAGCTTTTGATTGGTAATCGAATTCTCCTTGTCAGCACCTTAGGAAATGTATGAAGAGCAGTATGGAGAATATGCATACTGCCCTTGCGAACTGAATTCCCAGTTTTCTGGGAATTCCTAGGAATTCCTAGGAATTCCTTGGAATTCTCAAAAATTCCCAATTATGCAAATGACCCTTGCAAACCGAATTCCCAGTTTTCTGGGAATTTCTGGGAATTCCTAGGAATTCCTAAAAATTCCTAGGAATTCCTAGGAATTCCTAGGAATTCTCAAAAATTCCCAACTATGCAAATTAACTCTGATTTAAAAAGCTTGGAATTACTGGGAATTTCTGGGAAAGGAAGACTCCAGTTTTGTGAGGACTTGGAATCCCTAGGAATTCCTAGGAATTCTCAGCTTTATTTGAGGCAATTTTAATACCCTGAGGTCCACATAAATTCTAAGAAATTCTCAATACCTTGAATGTGAAGGTTTTAAGAAAAAGAGTAATTTCAAAGGCTTAAAACTTTGGCTCAATAAAAGGTATGCTATACAAAACTTACCAAGAGATATACATACATGTACATGTTGATAACTTAAAGATCATGAAATTTATTACTCAAACTAAGTTTTAGTAAATCTTGACATTAATATGGATTTTCTCATGAACCAGCTGTCAGTTATGTTAAATGGAAATTGCCAACTTCCACAATAATTAACAATAATTACATTGTTATCTTACTTCCCTAACCTACATTACTGGTTGCCTTTGTTAGAAAACCTTGGAACAGTCAAGCTCAGTTGCCTCAAACGCTGTCAGAGACTTTTTGTTGACAATACTTTTAGTAGAAATTTCATGCCTTAGACAAACAAATTCAACACCTAATTAATCTTTCTTTTTTCATGATTGTTGTTGCTGCTTTTTTTTTTTCAGTTTTTTGCTCTATTTTCATGACTAATTGCTGTAATTTGTTTTGCTGTTTTTATTCTTACAAAACATTTTTGTAAGAAAAGGGGAACATTGACTACCTCTGTCCTGTCTGCATGCCAAATGTTTGCAAAGTGTGTGGATGATCCACAAGTATTGGAACTCTTACAAAAATGTTTTGTATATGTTCCAATACTTGTGGATCATCCACACACTTTGCAAACATTTGGGCATGCAGACAAGGCAAAGGTAGTCAATGTTCCCTTAGAGGAAAAACACCTTTTATATGACGTCTTCAATTTACTTTATTTGAAACTCTGATCTGAAAATATTTGTCAACAAGACTTGTTAGTAGTGAGAAGTACCAACCAAGTTTCCTTTCATAACTTAATTTCTTAAATGTCCCAATCACTGGATCTCCCAAAAAAATATTACATCTTTTTATTTTTGGTGCAAATTACAAGTCCTTCTTTATATAAAAATGAAAAGTGATAGTCACACTTCAATAATAACAGCTCTTAAGTTTACTTGTTGTTCTTCTCTGTCTGTCAGCTATCAACAAGATTGTTTTATACTTCGGGCAGTGCATAACTATTTGTGGACCAGAGTTCCAACGCACCTCTGTAATTGCATATAGCTACTCCTGTCTCTTGTACAAATGTTTCTCCTTTGTAAGACGCACTCTACTCTGTTGTCAATACTGCTTTAAGTTCATTGGAAACGACTGACTGAGGAATCGAGATGGCGGTGTTGGAACGTGTTGCTGAACGCTTGCTACGGTCAAGCTTTGTAGATTTAGGTACTGGTACACTGGGATCATCTATGTATCTCTTATACTTCCGAATGTGGTATCCTTCGTGGTAAAAGACGATTTGTAGTCGCATTCAAAACTGTGATTGGCTTGTGTTATTTCTCACCTTGGCCATTAACACAACTCAAGTGAGTTTCGAGTCTTTGTTTCCTCGACAACTTTCGGCCACAAATCGTGCATTTGTAATACGATCGATTCTTTTCGATTATTTCTACATAGAGTGAGCTCACATCTTTATTTGTATCACCAAGCTATCCATCTTCTAGAAGCAGAGAACCGGTCGGAGAAGTCAGAATAAAGTTAGGCGCTTCTCTTAACACTGCAATCGGCAAGCCAGCGGATTCACTTTGCTAGCCAATTACAAGTCCTAAAAGATCCACGTGATCAGGCCCGTGATCGGAAACAAAGAAGACTCCATTTGGCGCTCATCTTTGAATGTACTTTGGATCGGTTGATCGCTTTTCTCAACTGTTTTGCTTAATATAACATTTCTAAAGATAGCTTTTATTGTGGTTCAATGGGAAAACGAGAATAGCGTGAGTGTTGTAAAAGAAAAGAAAGTCGTTGGCGCCGTGGAGTTAAAAGAAGGGACAACAGTTGACATATTGACTGGTACAAACAAGGGTCGAGTGGCCATCTGTAAAGCTACGATTTTGAAAGTTTGTGGTGAGTAAAAATTGCGATATTCGTTACGTGATCAAAATCTTATAAAAGAATAGATGTAGCGGGTTGAATTAAGCTTACGTAACGCTCGGCGCAACTGAAACTAGAATAATTCTGAGAATCGAATCGGTCACTTGCATGCCGCAGTTTCTTAAGCTTATGCTTTACAATGAAATAAACCTATCAGTAAGGTTTCAAGATTCCTCTAGTCACGTTTGGGAACATTCAAGATTCATAATAGGAACTGTTATTAAACAAACCTTAGTACATAAAGAAGCCCTCCTTGGTAAAAACAAAATAATGTATTCAGCCCTTTTTTAGTAAAATCCATGAGAGAGATGTACTAACTCCAATATAAAAGTCACTCAATATAACAGAGATTTCTCAATTTGAGAATCCAATGAATGCCCTTTTCCTCATAGCCATCTTAAAAGCCTGGTCTGAGCTTTAAATATACATATTTTAATATATTATTTTTTTTCAAATTCAGATGTCAAGGAATCCAGATACAAAATGGTCAAGGTTCTTGTTGACAACCTCATTCAAGGCCAACTCATTGTGAGCCCAGGAAAAAAAATACAAACAGTACAAACAGCAGCTAAGTTTGCAGTTTAGGATAACTTCATTCTAATATATTGTTACAGTTACAACAAGATTTTAATCAAAAAATCAATTTTATTTGTCTGTAATTAGCCCCTTCACTCCCAAGAGTGCTTGGTTTTCAAATATAACTTAAGATATTGTATTTTATGGAAAAGAATCAACAGATTTTATTCACAATTTGTGTCAAACCAAATTTAATGATTGATTAGAACTATTTTATATGAATAGCTGTAATTGAGGATTAATCCGTATGAAGTTTTCAAGAAAAGAAAAATAAATCAAATCCCATCCTAATATTACCACACATTGATGTTATTTAATCAAAAATATTTTACATGTAAGCCTTAATTAAGCTTCTAAATAAATTTCATTGAATACTTGAATTTTAGCTGGGTTTTTTTTAATTTAAAGTATTTATTTTATATCATTAGCCTCAAATTTTTGCTTAAAATTCCCAGTAATTCTTAAACATTCCCAAAAATTCCCAAAAATTCCCAGAAATTCCCAGAAATTCCCAGAAATTCCTAGAAATTTTTTAGATTTACAGCTTTTCAGGGAAAGTCATTGGTTCTCTGAGTTGGAATTCCTAGGAATTCCTAGGAATTCCAAGTCCTGTTGGCTATAAACTTGGAATTTCTGGGAATTTCTGGGAATTTCTGGGAATTTCTAGGAATTTCTAGGTTTTTAGAACCAGAGTTGTTATGGTTGGGAATTCCTAGGAATTCCTAGGAATTCCCAGTCCGAATTTACCGTGAAAATTCACACCTTTATTCCTAGGAATTCCTAGGAATTCCTAGGAATTCCTAGGAATAAATTCCTAGGAATTCCTAGGAAAATCCTAGGAATTCCTAGGAATTCCAAAAGCCATTTCGCAAGGGTGATTTTAGGTTGTAAAGGGTTAAGTTTCACTCACAGGAGTGACCAAAGCTAAATGATTCTCTTTTTTTTAAGGTCAAAAATCATGATGGTACAGCTCTTCAATTCCATGTAAGATGTGCAACTGAGTTCAAAACATGCTATGTTATGCGGAGGGGTCCTTTTATGACAGGACTGGTATTGTGTCATCCAGATACAATCAGGGTTATTCAGACTAGTAATGCTCCAAAAGCACAAACATACGAGTTTATTAAGCCATTGTTTGGTGAGTATACAGCAACTTTTTATAGTAAATAACAAGAACATTAATGTCGGAGTGCTGAGAGAGATCTAAGAATTTACTCAGGTTTTGCTCCATAAAGCAATGGTGACTATGATTAGTCCGAAAAACATGGGGCACTTTCTTGACCAGTTAGATGAAAGCTATCTACTTCTTGTTCTGATTAGCAGTCATTGTGATACTTAAACTCACCATTGGTTTCACAATACAGTCAACTCTTTTGCAAGTGGAGAATCTAATAGGAATTAGGGAAGTGCCTTTTACTAGGGCAGTGCCTGTCTACAAAAATTATTCCCATAAGTGAACGCCAAAGAAAAATAGGGTGGTCATGTCTGCTTTTGGAAGAATTAATAAATGTGTGTTATGGTGGACTCTCATTAATGTCAAATGAATGAACAGCAAGCTTTCTTGTGGACAAATGGAAAAATGACAAAACCGATCCCTTTTTTATGTTGCCCAGTCAAAGGTCATGTTTTTGTAGATTTGCATATTAAAGACAAACTCTGTTGCCAAGAGTCAATTTTTATGCATGTAGTGTCTGGTGAGGAGAGAGCATAAACTAAAGAAAATTCAATTTTTTACTTTCAAAAGTGTCCACTTCCACTTACTAGAGAGTGTACATCTGATTATGAGAATGTGGAAAATCAGAGTTTGACTGAGAGGCAAAAAGGGGAATTGAAAAAACTGTTGAGAAGTTGAACTCTCTGTTTACAAGAGTGTTCGAACACTTGCAGATTTGACTGTATTCAACTCTAAAATACAGTGTTCTGACTAATAAATGTGGATCAGTTTTCATTTCTTTCTTTATTTTTTTTTAATCAATGCCTTCCTCTATTCACAAAGCTTTCTCTTTACACAAGTGTGAACTATGTGGTCTAATGGTTTAAGGTTGCTCACATGTAAATGATATCTTGAGGACATGTACAGATCATTGTACAAGTGTAAATCAAAGAAAACTGCTTGTAGTGACTTTATTAGCATGCATATAAATCCAAACTAGGAAAAGTACTCTATTGCTGCCACTGTAAATGTAGCAGCTATGCATTACAATCCTCAAATGATTGAACGACCTTTAACTCCTAACTGATGGAGTGCGAGGACTGCTCTAAGGAATATTGACCTGAGGTTGTAGCAGAACAGATTGAGCACACAGTTAGTACACACACTACCTACAGAGCCAATATCCCCCTGTGCGGCTCAAGCTAGTGAAGTTAAACTAAGTAGTTTATTATGTGACACTCAGACCAAACTTGTTTATTTTGAATTTCCCAGCTTTCACAACCAACAATACATGACTTATGACTGTTTCCATGGGAATGGTCTTTTAATAAGAAAAAAAGTGAGCAAGTAAAAACCAATCAGAATGCTGGGATTTACCTCAGGACCATCTTGCCACATGATTTAAGCACTCATTATTAGTATGCACTAATACTTCCTTGCCTTAATTTGTGGGTCTTCCATTTTGATAATGCTGTGGTAGCATGAAATGTTACTTTATCTCTTGTAATTTGATCTTTGTCACCTAAGGGGATGGACTGATTGCTGCAAATGGCAACAAGTGGTTTAGAATGAGACGACTCCTCACTCCAGCTTTTCACTTTGAGATACTCCGATCATATGTTCAAATTTTTCAGGATTCTATAAACATTCTTTTGGTAAGTACTTAATAAGAAAATCTGCGAGTCCATTTGGTAGGCTAGGTAAATTTTTTGCATTCAGTGCATCAAATATGTGGTTCTCTTGGGAATACTGGGAATTCAATTACCCCCACCTTCTAAATGAATGTCTTAATTCAATTTACCCCTCATAACACAACAAGTGTATGTTGATTGAACTAACTTATCATCTATTATCATAAAATAACTGTACATGTGTCTGCAATTATTTGCAAGCTTTCATTGTTCTGATATCTTAAAAAAATGGAAGTGAGCAGTAATAAGACTCCATGTTGTTTCAATTGGATTCCATCTGTGTCAGATGTGATAAGAACATGTTTTTTGTTATCTATTACTTAGCAAATCCATAGTTAGATGGAGTTGATTTGCTTTGTATGATTAGATAAAAAAGCAAAATGGTGTTAATGGTTATGTCACTTATTTTTTCTCTCCTCCAACATAACCATACGTAATTATAGGAGCCAATCTGAAGGCTGATGATGTATCATTCAGCTCATTATCTAATAATAGGTTGTATTTTAGTTTTATCTGAGGTTTAGATATTGGATACATAGCTCATGCATTTTATAGACTATTTTATTCACACTGGATGCCCAAAATTGTTAGCTTACTGTTTCAACACAAGATCCCTAACACATCAAAACAGCTGTTCCAGGCTGTATCTTGACTTTCAGTGTGGACTCTAGTAGTTATCATATTATTGATACTTTTAAGTTAACATACTTTGTTACAAATAATATCATTATATACATACCTAGTTACCTCCATGCTACTGAAAGTTGCAATTTCCAGGATGTGCTTAATTGTGCAAAGGCATGGCTGCTGATCTGCCCATTTTGGGCAAAGTTTTTGACAAACAATCACTCCATGTATTGTTGTCCTCTAGGAAAAGTGGATGTCACAGGAGAGTGATGAAGTTGAATTATTTCGCCACTTAAGCCTCATGACACTGGATTCCATTCTGAAATGTGCCCTTAGTTATGAAACTGACTGTCAGACTCAAGAGTAAGTCTACAAATAAATGAATTGTTTTGTTACCCTTCATCACCAAGTGAAAAGTGTCCTATTTGAGGAATTTAGAAACTAAGAAAAAGGAAAATTTGAGCTTGGTTGGTGGATTATAGATTAATAAGGAGGCTATTAATGACAATAATCTGAGGTCTTTCATTTCTTCACAGAGAAGCTAATCCCTATATCAGAGCAGTATATGATGCATCTGACGAGGTTCTCAACAGGATGATGTAAGCAGATGATTACCTTTGCCCAAAATTCGATTGGTCAACTTTGTAGAGTAGTTTGATGTATTGGTGTGATATGAGGGTTGAATGTTAATGACAATAAGGGAGGGGGGGAGAATAAGATAGTTTTATTGAGTAATATGTATGGTGGAGGGGGTTGGGGGGGGGAAGCTCAGGAAATTATAAGACAGGGGAGGGAAGGGCCAAAAGTGAGAACTTTATGAAGGGCTAGAAACATAAGGGAAATTCAAAAGTTAATGGATCTTGCATTGGTAATTATCATAAATCTGAGTGTTTTGTTACAAAGGGGTTAAATTAGTGGGAGGCCACAAACTAGCAGGATATTGATAGGGAAAATTCAGTGCAACAATCAATGCCCAGTGCAGTGACTTTAGCCCTTCATATCAGTGCCCTCAAAGGCATAATAAATTTATTTTAATTATTAGAAAGTGAAACCAGTTTGGTTGCAAAGTAAAACCTGTGTCACAGCCTCAGCACTGGTGGCCTTTAGTATTAAGTGGTTCTCCCCCACCAACGCAGCACCACAGCTTCTTTCTGCAAACAGCTGTATATGAATTACTGCTTTCCTATATACCCTTCTTCTTGACCCTGCACTACATTTAGCAGGGTGATGATTTATCATTACTTTTACTTCTGTAGGAATCCTTTATTACATTCAGACATAATTTATAAAATGACAGCTGGTGCAAAACGTTACTCTGAAGTATGCACGGTTACCCAGGCCAAGGCAAAGGAGGTCATTAGAGAAAGAAGAGCTGCTCTTCAAGATAGTGTGAGTATATCATATTTGTTAACCCTTTAACTCCCATGAGTGATCAAGACAGACTTTCTCCTTATAATATCAATGCAACACCAACCAGACAAGTGATGAGAATAAATACAAATATCAATCAGGGGATTATTAGTTGATCCAAGACCAAATTCTCCAAACTGACACTATAAGAGTTGCATGGCAGACAGTAAGGAGAATTACTATTGAGATCTTGGGAATAAAGTCTAAGTTTTGGCCGCTGGAATATAAAAAATAATTCAAACACGTCTTTCGAAAATCATTGGTATGTTACGTTTTCATTTTTTGTCATTTGACTAATACATAATTTTTTAAAGTTGGACACATCAGGCACAATCTATTTCCTTATTTTTTAAGGTTGAGCAAGAGAAGTTAAAGGAAAAGCGATACTTGGACTTTCTGGATATCCTTTTGGCAGCAAGGGTAATGTTGTACTTAGGTTCTATAAGATCTGAAGCTTAAACTCTTTAAGATCATATAACATACCTCTTTCTGCTCGTTTTGAGAACTTGGTTTTTTGTATGAACAAGGACTGATCTACATGATGTTTACCTGAAGACTCCAATTTTTCTAAAAATCGCAAAGAGAATTTAGTTATGGATCAGGCTAGGAAGTCTGAGTTAATCAAACAAAAATAATCCTATAAGACACGTGCCTTGATTTTCTCGTGGTTGTGCAGCGCGGATATCTAATGTTCCTAATAGACTTGCATGAAGACCAGATGAAACACCTGCATGTCGATTTACTAAATCAACGACTTCGGCACGGCTTATCTAAGCCATATGCAAGAAGCTTGCCAGACATAGTATGTATAAGACTTTGGCTTGAAAAGGGAATTATCAATCACACCACGCATACTATGCAAAGTATGCTATAAAATAATTTCTCTTCCCTATTTCAGGACGAAAAGGGAAACGCTTTGACTGAGGAAGAAATAACTTCAGAAGTTATGACTTTCATGTTTGCGGGACACGATACCACTGCGAGTGGTAAGTAGTGATATCGAAACAAGTTGTTTATAATCACCAGAAATGTAAGAACCAGTTCTGGAAAAAAAATATTTGACCTAGATAGGATCAGTGGGTAATTGGTCCTTGCTGCTGGGTAGCCGCATTTGAGATCAACAAGGCGAAGCATAAAGGAATTCTGGCGTCCTTGAAATACAATGGGAATTTTTTTCCCCGAAAGAAACTGTATTGTATAGTAAGTCAGTTGTTAACGTAAATTGGCCACCGTTCAGAGTTTGAAAGCTTACTTTTCGAGCGTTAGCCTTTTGTTCATTCGCTCTGACGAAGGGCCAACACTCGAAACGTCATGATCAGTTTTGAAACTCTTTACGGTGGCGAATTTACTCGGCTTTATCAACTCAGTTGATAAAACCAAAATTATCTTGTTATACTTCCCCACCGACGCAGCACCATAATTTCTTCAGAAACTTACCCCCTTTATGGTATTGTATAGTAGTCACATCGTCTAGCAAAGTCACAGCTGGCTTCACTTTTGAAATATGATTGATTAACGAAGTGGCGCAAATTATTTGAGAACGAGTCAGGATCAGCCTCTCTATTTGGTATAGTCTTTAATCCTGTACGACCCCTCATTAAAAAAAAATTAATAAGTAAATGAAGAGATAACAAGGTAAATTTGTAAATGATATTGCACATTTTTTTCCCATCAGTGACTTGTGTAAAAAGGCCGCCTTAAGAGGCCGTCCATTATTTATCGCCTTCAAGGTGGTGAAGGGGGTTGGGAGTTTGGTGGAGGACTTTGGTTGTGTTATTATAAAATTTACCCTATCCCCCCACAGTAGACTCTGTAATTTTTTTATTATTCCTCCATCCCCCCTCCCATTATCGGCAATAAAGTAGCAGTAAATTTTTCTATACTTCTTCCTTTATACCCCTGAAAAAACATGTGATCCCCCAACATTCTCCATCTCCTTCCCCCACCCGTTATAGGTAATGATTGGTCACGCGTTTCAAACTGTTTGTTAATCCTCCTTTCTAGCTATGTCGTGGACATTATACAATTTAGCAAGATTCCCTGAACACCAAGAAAAATGTCGAGAAGAGATAGATGCAGTGCTTGGCAGTAAAGAGGAGTTTGAATGGTGATTATTTCAAGTTGCTCGAACATGCATTGTAGAGCGAGGAGAGAGATCCCTGCGCCTCAGAAAGGACGCGCAGTGATAGCTTCCTTCGTGCTTCGCGCGCAGAATTTCTCGTCAGCTTGTCTCTTTAAATCACTTGCGTGCGGGTGAAACGCGCTCTGTCTTTCCCCACTGATTAGATACGTTCTGATTGGTTGGTAGTGCGGTTAATTCGCTCGTTCGTGGGCTCGGGTATGCATGTTAGCAGACATAGAGATTCATGAAGGATCTTTGATTTGTGGTCGCTTAGTAAGAACAATTTTCATCAGTGTCGAAAGTAATCTAGGATTGGTTTGTTTTATCTTTACTTCACTCTCTGATTGGTCCGAAAAAATCGCGGCACTCTCTGAACCAATCAGATAAGAAACTATTACCAACTACGACTTGGTCACCCGTATTTTCTTGCGCTTTAGCTAGTTTGGTTGTATTGTATTTCAGTTCTCTTTGGCTCTTTAAGGTTTTTCCTTTTCTTTTGATTGGCCAATGTGATTACGACACTCAATCGAAAAGCGCTCTAATTGACAGGGATTTCAAGGTCTGCAGATGTGTTAGCGTTAGTGTTCCGCAGTGGTCTGTCAACAGTACAGATCAGTAGAAACGATACCAGAAACATTTGCGAAGAAGACGAAAGGGAGAAGTTGAGTAGAGCTATCCCAAATTACATGTAATCTGAGGGTTGAGGATATAGCAAAACCACGCCATGTTCGATTTGAATCCTAATTCTTTACTTTAATTTTCATACTTGTGTCTTTTAGGAGCGATCTCAATAAATTAAATTACGTTCACTTGTGTATCAAAGAAAGCAACAGAATCTACCCTCCAGTGCCGAGGATAAGTCGCTTGTTGGACAAACCGTATGAGATTGAAGGAAAACTACTTCCTGAGGGTATGTTGTATTTTCGATTTTAATGAAAATCACCTAAACAGCAACATTTAACCAGGTCGAGTAGGAGGGTCTTTGCATTTTTAACTTTCCTCAACTTTTTCTCCTTTCCATTGCATGAAACAAACTGATTTCATTCAGTCATATTTCTGTCCAGTTCAAGATTGTGCAAGTCGCACGTGGTAAGAATATCAATGACACCACTCGCTAAAGGCTCGTTCAACTCGATTGCTCACGAGTGAGCGCAGCGAACAAGTGATATGTCGAGTTGAACACTGAAAGAGAAGTTCCATATTTACGATCAACCGTGGCTTTTTTTGTTTATCATATAAACACAATAGTCCTTTACTGACCAGTCGTAACAAGTTTGTCTCGTGGAGCTAACCAGGTTACAAAATAAAATCAATCTCACGTAAGACTGTGATTTTGGTTTGGTAAAGAGATACAAAGTGGAAGGAAAGTTAAAGCTTTTCTTTTGTAGGCAGTTTATCGTAACCTCTCTCCGAGTCCCGCTTTTTGTTTAATTTGTCTTTTTGCTCGCTTTTTTGTTTTGTTTTTGTTTTTGTTTTTGTTTTTTGTTTTTCAGGAACATGGGTTGCTACTCACATATTTGCCTTGCATCGTAATCCGCACGTATGGTCAGATCCCGAGGTAGTTTGAATTATCATGCTTTCTCTCTAAGCTAAGACAGAGCGTTCGCTTGAATGATTTGTTTTAGACTGAAACAGAAGTCTCTTTCTCTAGACCTTCGCTTCGCACTTGGGAAGTACCATTCTGTTTCTTTTTAATTCCGTTGTAGATCCAGATCCAAGTCACTGTACAATCGAAATGTGTTCCTGATCTTGATAACAGTCTAGCATTTTCCTATGCACGTATTGCCTATGGTTAACTGAATTTGTTTAGTTAAGAAAATTGTCACACTAAATCAATGTCTAGAAAGGTTTTTTAATTGTATTACTTAATTATTTCTTTTAAATTTTTTTTTTTTTCAGAAATTTGACCCTCTTCGTTTCACAACTGAAAACATAGAAAAGATGTCACCCTATGCGCACGTTCCTTTCTCTGCTGGGCCGAGGTAACCATTTGAATTGTTTTATAGTTTGTTCTGATAATAAAGAACAATTGGATGAAGTTGAGTATGACATCATGAATTATCAAACCGAAATCTAAGTTATTTGCCGAAGCTGAAGGCTAAGGCACAAAACACAGTTACGCGGTTTGATAATATAAAATAACGGTTTTGATAATTTAGGATATTACAGTCAACTCAATCCAGTAATTTCTTATAGATTGCATGCTCTCCACCCATCAGATTTTTCCTAGTAAGTCATAATGTATAATGATGGTCATGTTTGGTGGTTAATTCATGAATTTATTTGGGGCAAAATGATTGTTTTAGCATCTTGCCTTTAAGCATTTTGGCGTGACTTCGCCTTGTAAGACGAATTCTTCGACAGTATCTGATATTTAGGAAAGTCAAAGTAACTGTTCATGACAAAATTAAAACTAAAATCAGAGTCGATGCAAGAATTAAGAAACAAAATAGGTGGGATAAGGTTAAGCCACAACAAAAATGACAGAGACAAAGAGTAAAAATAAAAGATTGAATCTACCCAAATACTAGGTTGGCTAATCAAGTTGGGTGGAAACAATTGCCTCATAACCCTTTGACCCCTTAAGAGTGACTTGCAGCTAATTTCTCCTGACAGGATCACTAATGAATCAGATATTAATCGCATTAGGTCACAAGAGTAAAAGAAATGATTGCCAAGTAAACGAGCTCTTGTTAGTATTATAAGAAATAAATAGAGAACAGCATGCACAATATGAATACTCATGTTAGGATGTAAAGGGCTAAATGGAAATGCTGCTTGACCACAAAGCTCGTAACAGTTTTTCACTGTGACATGTTCACGTGCGACATACTTCTGGCATCCATCCGTATTGTTTCTACAGGAACTGCATTGGACAAAGTTTTGCTCTGGCTGAGCTGAAAACTTCAGTAGCAATGATCCTACGAAAGTAAGTGAGCTCACATAATACTGACTAATAATGATATGATTTGGATTTAGTCTACCATGCTTTGCGATTTGCGAACAGACGCACTCGTGGCGTCCTGGTAGCTAATCAGATGTAATTATAGACCTGCTCGTAATGTGATCATATACTTTTCGTCATGCGTGTGCGAACGACCTGTGTGCCCGTACGTTAGCGCGCCTCGACGTGCATTTGAGTGTATGGGATGCGAACAGTTGCAGTCACAAATTGTTGCAATTTTTTTTGGTTCATAGTATTATTTTTTTCTTAATACAGGTTTGAACTTAGTGTTACCCCGCAGAACATCATACAAGACTACAAAGATCTTCAGCCTCACTTGATCCTGCGAGCAAAAAATGGCATCGTTGTGAACATTTCACCAAGAAGTAACTCATGATAAAGAGAAAATGTTGACCAGACTTGATAACATTTCTAAATGATTTTAATACACTTCTTTCAAAGCAAAACCAAAAGCATATTTTTGAAAGTTTGTTCAACCTGAAACAAGTCATCCAAATTGTATTTCCTGTAGTTCCTTTACTGTCTCTGTTTATCTAGTTTTCTGTCCGAATTAGAAGGAAGATAATTGTCATTCGGACGAACCAGGTAAGGAAGAGTGAAATACGTTTTTTTATGGTGAACTTCGTAGAAATATATGACTTAAGCGTGATCCTCTTAATAAAAATTTTTTTCTGATTAATTTGAAAACACTTCTGTCAAGGCAAACCAATAGCATAAATTTAATTTTTTATACCTTTCTCTTTTTTAAGAAAGAGTATGCTTAAGTTTTATCTTCGCTGTTAATGAGAATATATAAAAATTTACTACTTTCTTGGTGAAGAGGTGCACGAAAGAGTTACGTCACCTTTAGAAGATTCTTTTCAATTGTTCTAAGAATTCGCCTATTTTGCCGCCATTTCGATTATAACTCAGTAACTTGGTCACTGTGACGTTATATTAAGGCGGAGACCTCCCAGGCTACGTTCGTTGATCTCTTCCTATTTTTCCCTTTCGAATCTCAAAATGCGAGCAAATAAAACCCGCATCTTTAAAAGTTGAAAAGGTCATGGTGACAGCAGCAAAATTGGTTTGGACTTTGGTAGGACATATACATTTTATAAAATATGAAAATATGAATGCTTTCCCCAAACGAAGTTTACTAAATGAATTAGTCTCTGCTGAATGACGTTGGGTAGCCTAGTTCCAGTTGCTGTGGTCGCTCAAGGTATACTTTCAGCAGACACACTATGATGTTGTCGTTTGTATGTTCAGCGTCACAGGCGTTAACCGCTAGGAGCTGATTTTATGTCTCACCATGTGGTTCAAGAAGGGCAAGGAATTCTGTAGAAAGCAATGTAAGTGTTTTCTGATTAACTCTCTCCATTAACCCTTTACACCATTAATCAGTATGCATACTTCCTATAACGTTCCCTATGCATTTCTTCAATATTGACAAGAGGAATCCGTTTTAAAATCAAAGCCTCCTAGGTTGGTGATAATTCAATGTAGCATTGTTTTACAAGCCAATTATTCACAAGTAAAGTACGTCGTACTGGTTATCGGTCACTCAGTAAGTGAATCAGTTCATCGGTCAGTCAGTCAGCTTGTAAAGAAGAGGGCCATTCGAACAGAGAATGAGTAACTTTATCGGTCACCTCGTCAGGCGTCAGGCTGGCAACCAGCCAGCCAGCCAACTGTTATTTTTTAATCAAGTCGCAAACTATGGACATAAATCCACTCTCAACTCACCTTGGTATGTTACTCTTTTGTCTTCATCCAGTTTGGCACTGACAATCATCTCATGAAGTTCCTCTCTTGGGATTCTTTTGTCCATATTTAATAATATATAGCGTAACTCCGCTGATTCAATGTATCCCTTATTGTCGGCGTCGAAAACTCGAAACGCTATCATCATGTCCGCCTCTCGCTCATCGGGTTTCTTTTGATCTTCCATCAATTTTACAAACTCTGGAAAGTCGATCACACCGTTTCCTTTATTAGAAGAATACAGAAGTCGTTAATATTTCTGTTCGGTTGAAACATGAATTTTGTCAGCCAACCCTCGCACATTCCGTTTGACGAGGTCAGTATTTTCGTGTTTCAATTTTATGCACATTTCCTTCAGTAAAAGAAAATGGTTCACTTTCATGTGGTGGTAGCAAGAATTTCCTTACCCATCCATAAATTTATTTTCTACGAAATTTCTGAAATATTCAAGAGTTTTCTCTTTCAATTTATGCTGTGAAAAAATGGATGACACTATTTTTCTCATTTAACTTCATGGAATGGTGACTCCTCGACAATATGGGGTAGATTAATTTTTTCTACCTATTCTTGCATATTCCTTCGAGTCCTTTTTTCTAGCAACATTTGACGCCTACAAAGTTTTGTTAAAGTAAAGAGATGAAAAAAAAGGTTGCTTCCTTTTCAGTTTTTTTCCTCCTAACTTTTTGAGTTGCTGCCGCAAAATGCATTAAACATATGTTTCCAATGTCAGAAATGAATGTAACTTACTGTCAATCTTTTGAAATGCCTTCAAACCATATAAGACCGCTCTGCGGCTTAGATTTACAAGTTTTCTCGCGTTATGGCTTAGTTTGATCAAATCCCACTCGTTTTATGCTCGTAACAGGTTATTTCCCGTAGGCGTAACACACTTGTACAAATATTGCACGCCCCCAGTCATCCTTTTACGTAAGAATTTCAACAACGCGTCACTTGACTTGTCAATAACTAGTGTCAAGTTCTTAGAAATAGGGACTTTAAGAAAACCAAGTCATTGACGGCACAGAAGATCTCATGTTTTAAAACTTCTTCATTTTTCTTCGGCGTCCCAAACAAAACAAAAACGTGAAATCACCAACTTTTACGCCCTCTAAGCGAGTAAACCTCGACAGCAATTTTCTCACCCTTTTATTTTAAACTCAACGCTACGCTGACGTGCTATGCCGAAGGGTAGATGTCGCACCGTTGGAAACGGTAGATGTGAGCTACTAGTGAAATTCATAGGGGAAAAGAAACATCGCTTTTTGACAACTTTTTCCCACACGGCGCTGTAGTAACATCTTAATCTCTCTATTATATAAAGAAACAGCGCTTTGCAGCGTTCAATTTTCATTGAGACTAAAAGTTTTATTTTGCCTGTCTGTCTTCAGTGTAGCTCTACTACATGTTTACAAATTTTATGTTCCCCAGAAAATGGCTTCATTAGGTAATCAGAGCGCAAGAGGCAATCGTATCGAGTAAGCTTGCTCTTACATAACGAAAAAACAAAAGTAATAAAGATGTATTTAGCAATGAGATAAAATTATATTAAAGATGAAAAATTAAACATAGTTCATGGTTCATGACCATTTAGCAAATGACTTATCTTTAAAAATTTCGTCGAGGCGATTTTGAAATTTTGTATCCCTGGTTTCTTTACTCAACCGAAACGCATCCATACTTAATGAGTCCATTGTTATCTTGCGTTTGTCGTTTATGAAAAAAAGTAAAATTTTTTTTTATTTTCCTCCAATATCATATAAGATACGTTCTCAATCTCGGAAGTTTGCACCTGAGACCATGCCGTTGTGTTGAGTCGTACTGCATTCGAATAAATTGCAGGATTCACAGTTATTATAATTATGAATCAATTACAGGACGTTAAACGAAAGTATCACATGGATGTAATTAAAGAGGGTATCGTATCGAGATCTCTTCCAAAGATAAGATTAAAAAAATAAAATATTTACTTGTTCAAGTACATAAAGTGCATTTTTGCTCAAAAGCCTTTTTTGCTTTGAAGATTAAGGGCTAACGCTCGTAACGTCAACTTTAGAAACTCTTTACGGTAGGTTGATGAAATCAAATTTTTTGTAAACCCCCGCAGCACCACAATTTCGTTAAAGACTTACCTGTCTTTTTCGACCTGATTTCTATATATCAATTTTTATTTAAAGCTAACGACACAAAGAAGTGGCGAAATATTTTGGCCGAACGGCAATAAAGCAAACCAGTGCAAATTTTTTAAGTAGAGTTAATGAAATCCATTTCAATCAATTTTTATTCCCGTTGATCTGTAAAATATTGAACAAACTGTCAGTGCTTTGTGAGGTAAGATCGTGTATTCGCACATAGATTTTCTATTAATACAATTATCCCTGAATTTTTCAATACATGCTTCATTAAAGTTGGAATATTTCCTAGCTTGTAGGATGACACAGTTTCGCATTTGCATATTCTTTTAACCTAGCTGCTCAAATAAGATCGATGCCAAATTAAAAGCGTTGTATTTGATTTACAATTCAAATCTGAAATCGAAAAACGTGATCTTTTGAACACCGGCTATTGTCAAGTTTTCAGGGCACATGCGAATGGTGTGGCTTTTCAATGTTTTCTAAACCCAGTTTTCCGATATATTTGACAATTATTCACCGACACTGAGTTGAATAATTATTTTAGTAAACATCGCACAGAAACCAAAAAATAATAGTTTATTTCTGTCGATATACCAAAAAAGACTGATCGGAAATTGAATTGTTGACGCGTGATTTTTTTCTTTTCGGCTGCTTGGAGGTGGACAGGTACTCAGACCCAGCCAATCAGCGCGCGCGAAACGCACTATTAACCAGCGTGGTATATCGTACCTACTTTGATATTTTTGCGCTCGCACAAACAAAAATCGAACACGTTGACAATTATCGTAATTATTGCTGATCTCAAACAAAAGCGGGTAAATATTCAGAGGCGAGTGTTTACCCACCACACTTTTGGTTCAACCATCACAGGTTACCTTTGCCGTCGCAATAGGTTTTATCATGGGAAACAAACGAGGAAAGTGCGCGGGCGCTTATTTAAAATTTCGACTAAAAAAGGTGGGGGTGTGGGGGAGGGGGCGGTAATTTGAAGGAGAGCGCTTAAGGGAGGGAGGCGCTTATCAATTTTTCCTTTCAGGGAGCTGTGACTTTATTTTGGCTACATCTTAAATAGAAAAACAAAAACTGCAACATTATCCACGAAGAAGTAAAGTCAATATCAACATATTTTGTTTGTTTAAACAAAAGAGGAAAGACTTATTTTCTTAATAAGATGACAACGAAGAAGCCAAGAGGTATGACGAAAATGCACGATCGTAGGAATAACTGTTACCCAAAGGCTGGAGAATGGTCTGGTTGGGCGTGGGAAGTTAATAGCATTTACCATGCCAAGAGCGCCGCAAAAAGGTCAGAAATTAAAGGAACAGATAACGCACATAGAGGACCTCTGCAAGCA